TCGGGGGCGTGCAGCTCGCGACTCACCCGGACACCTGCTCCTCTTGCGCAAGCCCGGAACCCGGGTCACCTTGTCGTCTACAGGAACCAAGATGTGCCCGGTCACCTCGGCACTCCAGGCCACCTCAGTGCCCCCAGTCACCCCAGTCACTCCTGGCTAACTCAGCACCCCCGATCTCCTTGACCCCGCCGCCCTTCCCCCTTCCGTTCTCGGGGTGAGGTCGCCCTGCGGCGAGCCGGTGTCGAGGAAACTGGCATGCATCGCTCCGCATTCGTGTGTACCTTGTGGAGCTTTCTAAAATTTAATTCCGCTGGCAGGGGAAGTCTTGGGACATTTCTGATTTACATTTGGGTCTCAGGGAGCCAAGGCACTGCGGGATTTAATTTACACCCGCTGGGCTGTTTACGTCCCCGGGGTCCACAAATACGCATCTGAAGATGTCCCCGGGGCCCAAAAATACGCATCTAAAGATGCGCCCGGGGCCTTTGTCCCATTCGAGGTTTGCTTCTCAACACAAGAAAACTCACACGTGTTGCTACACCGCAAGTCCCCAATTAAGAGTGGACAGGCAAGGTAATGCGTCCTTAAGGCAGGGCTTTTCACCTATTTTAAATGACAACTGTTCTTCCTGTTTGGGATATTCTCCCTGATTACGTTTTCAAATAGAGTTTACACTCACGACAAAAGAATAACAAAGACAATAAAGTGGGCACTGCTGAAGCGTAATTAACCAAATAGTCCTTAAAATAGGCAATTTTCATTGTCATTTTTTGAAGGCGACTTCGTAATACTGTATTCTCTTTGATGCGTTGGGATTCTCGTTTATCTCTGCAATCTAAGCATTTTTCAGTAAAGTTCGCGGGCGCAAATGCGCGCTGAGGTCGCTGTAACTCCTGTCGGTCTTCTCTAGCACTCGAGCGTCTTCAATTTTGTCTGCACACCCCCTCCCTTCGGTGACCAACAGAGGACGCTGGTGGTCCAGGATTGGATTGAGGATTAAATTTTTCAAGGCGCTTTTCCAAAGAGTTTGTGGGGGTGGAGTGGGAAGCTGTGAGACCTCCGCGGGAGGAGACTTTCCTGAACGCTATT